TCTAATAAAGCAATGATGGCTTCTGATACTAGGAGCTTTTCCTAATACTATAATAAGTGCTTGCTATACTACTTTTCATTGTATTTTTAGCTTTGTACTTTTTGGGTTTTTTCCTAAATTAGGGATCAGTGGAAAGAGTGTGATTACATGTAATAATAATTACTACATGTAGTAATCATTACTACATATAGTAATAATTATTACTACACGTAGTAATAATTACTACACATAGTAATGATTACTACCTATAGTAATTATTACTACATGTAGTAATAATTACTACATGTAGTAATTATTATTACATATAGTAATAATTATTACTACATGTAGTAATGATTACTACATGTAGTAATGATTACTACATGTAGTAATTATTCCTACATGTAGTAAGTATCACTAATGTAGTAAGTATTAATATATATATATACAGTATACGTATATATATGTATAGTCTGTAAAAAGAAATTGATTATTAGATCTGGCAGATACAACAAATAGATAAATCAACAAATAGACAAATCTAGCAAATACAACAAATAGACAGATGTGTTAGAAAATTCTATAATAACAAATATATATATATACATAACTTTTTACCTTGAATTAATTAGTTAAAATTCAACACTATAAAGTGTTTTACTTTGCAAATTCCCTTCAGAAAAGTAAAGTTCATATAAATTCTAATTTCGTGACATAACCTAGAGCTCCAATAATTACTCATCCTAGAGTACGTAGTATGTATTTTAGTTGCTATTAGTATACTGATACTCGACACCTATCAGTTCCAGTACCAATTTTCCCCTTCCAATGTATGTACGTACGTTGAAAAAGTGTTAGCTGCATCTAAATAATTGCTGGGTGAAAATAATGGCAACTCTACACTAACACACTCAACACTATATTAATATAACTATACAACTCAAACCAAACTCTAATAGTGGTAAGGCTTCGATCAAGGCGTGGAAAGACTTGGTCTGAGTAATTAAGGTTAAGGAGGCTTGAAAAGGTGATTCTGGGTTCAGATAAGTATGCTTTTAATTTTGTATTGGGTAATCTATTTAAAGGGATTTGATTACTAATCGATACTTTCTCTTTTTCTTATTCAAGATAAAAATACGAATTTCAAAAAGATTCACAGGGACAAGAAATAAACAACAACAATTGATTTTTCGATTCAGGGCTAACCAGAATAGAGACAAATAAAATAAACGAATAAAAGGCTTGATATTTCGAAGCTTTCAAACTCCAAACTTGAGTTTTTTTTTTATTCAAGGTAATTTTCGTTGCTTATATACACGATTTTTACAGACTAAAAATCGATAACTAATTTTCTTATTGACACTATTCTTTTGATGATCACTTCCAAAATAAAAATAACAAATAAAATAGCAAAAAAAGTAAAAATCGACGATTGTACATACTAGAGTGTCTAGAAATCTGCGGTGGCAGAATCTGTGCAGAACATTATTGGTGAATATGCCTATTGTGATGAAATTGGAATTCTCTTTAGAATTTCTTTTTGTCATAATTTTGTTTATACATCACCGCAGAATCTGCAAATTTAACAGAAATTGCAGCAGAATTTTTCAGTTAGGGTAGCAGAATTCTGGACACTAGATCGTACCATGTCGGAGCCGCAGTAATTTCTGGAGCAAGTTTGACCTTTACAATATATGTACATACGTAGGAATTAGTTAAACATGCATTACTATTTTTGTCTTCATTTCGGCAGTTTTTACTAGCATATATAATAGTATCTAATTGGGAAAATGTAGCGTACTTGTTGTAAAGATAGAAGAAAACAAAAAAATGAATAATTGAACCCTGATGGGTTATAAGAATATATCGGTTAGATCAGTGGAGTCTATCCATGCAAAGTTTATTTGTTTATTTAATAAATGCATATTTGTAATCATATTTTTGTAGTAAAATAAATATAGTACGTAAAATGCGATAGTCAAAAATTACATATAAATATGATTATGGGGCTAATAAGCTAAATTATTTTTGCAAGTAATATAGAATAAATACCAACCTTGTTACATAACCGTGGGGCATGGGTGAGGGTATAGGTTGCTAGTTAATAAAGGTGTCGTTAGTATATTGTAGCAAAGGATAAAATAATAAAAAATAATACTATGTTAGTGGCATAAGACAAACAAGACGAATTAGAACTAAATTTTTAAGTTGACAAAAGTCTACTTAATAACCAACCATACAATGGTTTTTTTTATTATAAAGGAAATGGATGTGTATAAGGTAATCTTGAATGCTATTATTGAGAAGAAATTAGGATGAATGTGGGACATTTGAGCATGATTAAAAATCTACTAAAATGGTTATCACAGCGGACAAAGACGAGTATAAGATATTCATAAAACATTAAATCTTAGACTTTATTATGTTAAAGAAATAGTGGATAACAAAGATGAACATTTGGATATTATAAAAATTTGGTAATATTAGAATGAAAATAGAATGTATATGAGGAATTGGAGTGGAAAAAAACATTTGAAATTTATCAAAGATCTAATATGAAAAATACTTACAGTTAATTTAATATTGGATATTGTTGTCGAGAAAGATATTAGAATTAGAACAAAAAACAATTATCATTAAAAGGTATTTATTTATTATGAGGTCTTATAGAGTAGTTAGTGGTAAAAAGGATAAACATGAAGCGCCGAATATTATTAAGAATTATTACAGTAAAGAATTAAAGTAGAAAAAGATAAAAATAAGGTATTTATTCATCATCAAAATTCTGTTAATATAGATAGTTTTAATTGAGTATTCAGATTTGAATTCATTATTTTAATGAAATAGGATTGATGAGATGAATGTAAAATATTCAAATATTGTAAAATCTGCCGAAAAATATTGATGAAACATATTATTTGACAGCGATTATTATATATTTAGTATAGTAAAAACTGATCAATCAATAGAGATGATGAATTGATTTGTCTCTACCAGTAACTAGGTAATTTTTGTATATTACATAATGATAATGATCAATATCAAAAATTTTTGCATTAGATTTCACATAATGATAATCTTTTTTTCAAAAATGTCATCTAATGATATTGATGATGAAGAATCCGTTTTGGCTTCTAGTTCTGAAACAGCTAGTAGTAATAAACAACAAAAAGCATCTGGTAGACCTTTTAATCCTGTTTGGAATCATTTTAACCAAATAGAAAAGAAACAAGGTGGACATTATTCAGCTAGTTGCAAGCACTGTTCACAAAAGTGGCAGCGCGGAGATATATCAACTTTCAAATTGCACATTGCATGCACTTGTCCTAATGCTCCAACAGATGCCCAATTTTTTTATTTCAAGCAATTAACTGAAGACAATGAAAATCAGAATGCAACTAAGAAATGAAAAACAAATTCTAAAAATAAAGAAGATCTTCTTAAATATGTCAAAAATCAAGAAATACCTTCAAAAAGACAAAAGCACTTAGAAAATGGCATGTGCCTTGCATTTATTTGTGCGGGTATTTCATTTAATGCTGCTAAAAATAAAATTGTTTGTGCATGGATTCAGGATCTTAAACCGGGTTTTAAAATCCCAAGTTCTAAAACACTTGCAGGAAAAATTTTTAATAAGCAACTAATCAAAGTGGAAGCAAAAATGAAAAATGAATTGCAAACCAAAAAAAATATTACCCTTGGTATGTAAATGTATTATTTTTTTTTTGGAGTATAAAATTTTATTTTTAAAATTTAAATATGGTATATAATATGTTATTTATATTTATTTTTTTATAGCGCTGGATGGTTGGACAGATCCATGAGGCTGATCCATTTGGAATTTTTTGCTATTAACACCCGATCGAAAAGAGCATTTATATGCTTTACATAATTATTTGGATTCAAGACATACAGCAGAATTTCTTACACAAGAAATTGAAAAAATAATTACTCAAATTGAAACAAAAAAAATTTGTGCAATAGTTAGTGATGGTGGTACAAATATTGTAGCAGCAAGGCGAATGATTACAGAAAAATTCTCCAATATAATGAACGTGCCATATATAGCCCATTGGTTAAATCTTATTTGTAAAAATATTATGAAAGAATCTTTTGCTAAACACATTTTATCTCAAGCAACATTGGTTGCTCAATTTTTTAAAACATCTCATGTAGCTAATTCAGCACTTGAAAATGAAATTCAAATTAATAACATAGTAGGTGGAGGTATTAAACGATATGTTGCAACTCGTTGGTCAAGCTATTACGATGCGATTTGTTCAATTCTACATCTAAAAGTTGCATTTGTTCGAGTAAGTTATATTTACATTAAAAAATCATAACTTTACAGTAAACACTCGATATTGAAGATTTGATACAACAATGAATTTGAATAATGATATTACTAAACCAAAGTTAAAACTAACTATCTGTATGTTTAAAGATTTTAGAACATAATCCAGACGTTATTTCAAATAATGAAGTATATTCGATTCTAAATAGAGAGGGATTTTATGATGACTTGGATTTTATAACTACTATTTTACGACCTATTAAAGAATCTATTATTCAACTTGAAAGTCGAGAGTCAACACTTGCAGACTGTTTTATTCATTTAATCGAATTGGCAGCTACAATTTATCAGATACCCCAAGACCAACACACTAGTTTTCAGAGACATTGTATCACTTCTATTAATAGACGGCTTTTAGAGTTTAATAATAACATATATCAGTTGGCTTATTTGTTACATCCAAAATTTAAAGGTATATTTTATAAATTATATATATATTTATTTATTGTAGTAACTATTATTTTAAATACAATATATATTAGATTATGGTTTTAAATGAGGTTAATATAAAAAAATTGCAAAATACATAAGTACTTTATGGAAAGCTTTGGGTAATAGTGAAAGCTCTTGCCGAAAACTTTTAGGACAACTTGCTTCCTACAAAGATAATGAATCACCTTTTAATGATTCATTTGAAGCTGATTGTTAAACATTGCAAACATGGTGGAAATTAATTGAGGATGTTCATGATCATCTTTCTGTTTTAGCAATTAAGCTTCTTACCATTACACCACATTCAGCTTCTTGTGAAAGAGTTTTTTCTACTTTAAGATGGATCTATGGCAAAAAAAGAACCAATTTAGTATTTGAAAAAGTAGAAGGACTAGCAAAGATTCACTGATATTATATAACACACGCCAAAGAAAAAATTTCTTACATTGACCATGAACTTACTTTAGAAGATATTTTAATCGTAGCAAATGAAACTGGAGAGTTAAATAGTAATGACTCCAATGAAGATTTCGATAAAGATTATGTTGGAGTTAGTGAAGTAGGGTTTAAATCGCTTGATGAAATTTTGAAATTAGAAGAAGCATTTGATTTTAATTATGAAATTTTTAGAGAAAATAGTAAAAACAACAATGCCAAATTGGGTTCTGAGGATGTAGTTGAAGAAAATCCAAATTATGATTACAATATAGATAGTTTAGTTGATGAAATTTTTACCTGATAAAAAATTCAGGCTAGATAAAGATAATGTATTAATATATTATCTTAAATAAACTACTACATAAGATTTTATGTCTAATTCAATTTTTTTATGTAATTAAAATTAAATAATGAATAGGAGATAGATCAGATTAGAATTAATAAAACAATCACAAGTTATAGAAGTGAATTTAGTGGTTTATTGTCAAAAAGCCTTTGTTTAGTTAATATGATAACTTTGAAGCATTGTATAGTAAACTTCCATGAACACACTTTTGGATTATTTTTTTGTGCCTAAATTATGAATATCGTAGTTTTAATTTTGTTTACCAGACAAAATTTTAAAAAAAAAAAATTTTATTTTTTAAAAATTTGCGAATTCCAGTATCAATTTATTGAACACCATATATTTGAGTTTATTTATATATTCTAAGGCTAATTTCTGTTAGAACTGGTTGGGGTTTTGAGCATAACAAACTCAGACAGTTCACAAAAATAACTATTCTTTCAAATATTATTCAACTAGATTTTAAATATACAAAGCTAAATACTTTCAAGTACTTCGATTTTTATGATATCATTTTAGTATATTTTATATTATTATACTAATCATTTTTAGGATTACATGTGAGACCTTATACTTCATGCATATTATTTATAAGCAATAATTTTAACATATAAAAAAAAAATCAAATATCTGATCAAGAACTTGAATTATTTCGAGCTACATTATGCATCATTTTAAAAATATATATTAGGTTTAAAAATTTAACCTGTATAGTGAGATAATACACATGAATATACTTGAAATTAGGCACAGGTCAATACAGGATAGGCATTCATTATAATAATAATATAAGCTACCCAGTAAGACTATGAAAGATCTACAAATATACATCGATCAGATCTTAACTTTAATATGCGTAATATTTGGAAGTACTAAAACCTAATATTAGAGCAGAATAGAGATTACAATAGAGCATGCTCTATATCAAAATTTTACAAAGAAGATTTTTATTAGAATGCAGAAAGTAATTGCATAGTTAAAACTTTGAGTTATCAACTGCATTTTTTTTAAGTATGATTTTCACGTTATATCTGATCTTGTTCTTTCATAGGCAGCTAAAAATATATTTATATATTACGTACATGTAGTAATATTTACTACATGTAGTAAATATTACTACATGTAGTAAGATTTACTACATATAGTAATATTTACTATATGTAGTAAATATTGCTACATGTAGTAAATATTACTTCAATTACGGTTTTAAAAAACCTTTGTAAAAATATATGTAGTAACTGTAATTGTAGTAATTGGCTACTTACGATGCTATACTTTAGCTTAAACAATAATATTATAGAGGTTCATAGGGTTTGTAATAGTAATAGTGTTAGTGTTTATTATATACAATATAGTGTATTGAGACTTATTATTTAATAAAGCAAACAAGATGTACTGCTTCAAAGGGCCATTTCAGTCTTTATTTATAATATCCTTTTTATTATAACTTCATTAATTATATTAATTTCATTAAACTCTTTAATTCAATTTCTTTAATTTATTTACTTAAACCTATTTACTTAATAAATTCTCTTTCTCTAATTAATCCTTTTTCTCTAATTAATTTTGCTTCCTTGATTTATTTAATTAATTACATTAATGCAATTAATTGCTAAAATATCTATATCAAGGAATTGATTATTATACCTATTCTCATGTAAGGTCTTAGCAGAGTATTTATGTTACATTATTGGATCTCACAATATACTAATCTATAAATATTATATAGTTAGTATGTTTATACTTAACAAAGCTTTACTATATAGTGTTTAGATTTAAGAGTTTCAAATTGCATATAAGCAATATAAAAAAAAGTTAAAAAAAACAGCTTTTTGTGAATTTAGCTTTTTGATAGAAGTTTATAGAATTATTAAAAAAATAATTTTGGCTACAATTAAGAAAGTGTTTGTCAAGCTATATTTGAGCAATAGTAAAAATAGTAGTATGTATACTTTTATAATTATTATAGTTAGTGCTCTAAGAAATTTTCTTTTCACTTTTTTTTCAAGAAATTTTTATTAAAAAGCAGACAATTTGGCTTACTTTTATCAAAATTGGTATTGTTAATCTTTTTAAATTGGAATTGTTTATCAGTTCTATTTTGAAAAAACCTGTATTGTAGATAAAGTATGAGTATACTTGCTTTGAAAAAAAAAATGAAATTGAAGATATTTGGCAAAAAATAAGTTAATTAGTCAAAAATGTGACAAGTGTTAAAATGTAAGATCTGATAAAAAGTATAATAATTTATATATAAAGATAGATCTAATAACAAGGAGTCAGAATGTCTGATATATAGAAAATTCTTTGCTAGTTCAGTTTTGTTTAAATTGTTTTTATTAGAATATAAGCTTTAGTATTAAATATATTAATTAAATAAAGATAAAATAAAGATTACTGTATTTATTAATATATAATTTTTAGTAAATTGACACAGTTTTTGCAATTTGTAACTGTCTGTCTGACCTTGTGTTAGTACTTCTCTTCTCTTTTATTTCTTAATATTTTTTTTTTTTGTGTTTCTTCTTTATATATTTTTTTTAGTACATTCTTTTTTTAACAAGAAGTTTTTTATCTTTCTATAAACAAATAGTATTAGATTGGTATTGTTTAATTATAGAATAGCAGATAAATGAGCTTGATCTAAACTTTAGCAAGTTTGATACAACAAGTTGCTTATAAGTGCCAATTGTGATAACTATATAATAATAGCACAAGAGTTAGATAAAGTTATATTTGTATATTGTTTATACTAAACTGTTATAAATAAACTTCTGATTAATAACTATTATAGCTGATAAAGATAAAAAAAATATATATATATTAAAAGTATATTATAGTAAGATATTTATGAGACTATATAATAATTGATTAGATAGGCAAGTTGTTCAATAAAGATGATAGCTTTCTTATATGTCTAACTGCTAATTATATTATTTTTTATTATGTTTTTATTTTATTTTTTATTTATAAAACTAATTTTATCTGTTTTTTTTAATTAGTTATAATTTTATAATATTTTTTTATATATTTTTAAAAAAGCTATTTTATGTTGCATTTATCTAAATAGTTATAAACTTTTTAATTTTTTAAAAATTTGAATAAGGTTTTGTAATAATGTTTTAATCTTTTTTGTATTAGCTTACTAATATTTTTAAATTTACATTTAGCTTTTTTTTTATTAAAACTTTTTACAAAATTTTATTAATTTTACTTTGCTTGTTTTTTTACAGATTTCTTTTAAAACACTGTTCAAGTCAAATTAATAGTCAAATTTGTTATTTCAACTTTTTTTTTTATAAATTTTATATATTATTAGATATTTTTGATTTTTTTTTGTTCTTATTATATAAAATGCAATATGAATTTTGTATATATCTAAATATCTTTTTGTTAAAGTTTTTAGTACTGGTAGCTTTTTGTTAATATATTTAATTAGTATTGTAATTTTTTTTCTTTATATTTATATATTTGTCTCTAATTTAGTTTTTGATTTTCTTTACTATATTAACTAATTGTGCTTTTTTTCTTTTATTTAGTTTAATTTTTAAACTAATAATATAAATCTTCAATTTGTATCAACTTTAAAATCCAAAATATTTTTTTTTATGTTAAAGTTTTTTATTTTTGAATTGTAACTGTTTTATTTAAGTTATAGAACACAGATGCCACCAGGAGCTCCCTTATATAGAAGGTTACAATTAGGCATATATGCAATTTTGGTGCCTAATTTAAGTAATTTGCTTATATATTGCTATATAAGTTTTATACTAAATGTCATACTTGCAAGCCAGCTAGGAGTCTTGTCTATTTAAACCCTCTGTATATGCAATCTATTATGTATTATAGGAACATCTTAAAGCTATACTCATTCAAGTTCCTAATGTTTATTGATATCTTAAAACTACTTTATCCTTAACAAGAGACTTACTAGAGTCTTTATATCTCATACATACTGACCTAGTTTTATGCAACATGTTTTAGTTATCTAACACTTGCAATCACAGAGGTTATCTGTTTAACTATTATACTATACTATTTCTATCTTTATAAAGTTTATTCAAATTCTGATATCTAGCTTTCTGATTTCTTCTTTTTATTTCTCTAGTATCCAACTTAGAATCTAACAGACTTACCAAATTTCCAATTTAGATGGCCTGATACAGTATATCTTTGGTATTCTTTTCCTTTGATAGTTCTAGTGGCCTAATTGGTTATATATTTCTCTATATATTTTGTCATCTGATTGCATGTTTGCCTATTTCTTATTGAAGTTTTGTAGACTTTTATTAGTCCAATAGCATTATCAAAAGTTTGTGTTACCTCTTTACTTAGAAATTTTCAAGTAAAATTCTGTCTTTTCAGTTTCTTAGTTTTCTGTATTTAGTAGTCTTATTATAGGTTTGCACCAAATTTTATGCAACATCAGTTATTAATATTTCTTTATATATATATAATATTACACTTTATATAAATACCTTGAGTTATCATATAACAGATAGAACTCAACTTGGTATATCTAAGATTACAGATCATAACTAAATCCAACTAATCAACAAAAGATAGTTTGTTATACTATAGGTTAATTTTCAAATTTTGGCATAAGTAGGATTTGAACTTTAGATCTGTTATTTGGAGAATAACAACTCAACTACTAGATTAGAATTGCTATTCTCTAAATCTAAAATATCTTTAATAAATTGTTTTATTAATCTTTTTATAAATATTATTTTTTAGCAAAATAATAGATTTGAGTTTAATAAAAACATGTTTATAATTCTATCTAAGTTATTTATATATTTTTTTTTTTTGTAATTTATTTATTTTGTTATTTTATTTATTGTTATTATTATTTTTTTTTTAAAATAACCTTTTTGGTCTTTTGATTTTTAAGAACTTTTTTAATAATATAATTTTATAAACTATTACAAAAAGAGTGTACAATTGGTTATATATTTAACTTTTCTATATTACTTATTTAAGAAGTTCACCTAAAAGTTTTTTATCAATTGCTATATCTAACACTTCTGTTTGAATATTTTATTTTAAATCCTTTGAACCTACACCTGTGTTTATATTACTAAGTTATGCCCAAGTCATTATCCTAACTTTAGAACTATTTTATTTTTGAGGTAAGCTTTCTGTATCTATTTTTACAACTGATCTAGGTATTACTATAGCAGAACCAATATTTGCAGTTAGAGTTTTTATTTTTAACTACTATGCCCTTATAAAGTTTACTCAAATCTTAGTATCTACTTTACAACATATTCCTAGTACTTTAGTATACTCCTGTTTGTTTACTAAACTTTCAATTTAGATATCTTATATAGAACTATAATTAGTTTATTAATATATTAGGTTAGCTTAATATTATTTTCTTCAGTTTATTTTAACAACCTAGTTGGTAGTATTTCTGAGACTTTCAATTCAGAAAATCTTGCCTGTTTAGATACTTTAATATTGGTATTTGTTTTTAGTAGTCTAGCCTTTATAGTAGTATTATTGAAAATCTGTATTACCTTTATACTTAGATTTTTTTAAATAAACTTTTTGGTTTTTAATTTTAACAGATTTGCACAGCTATAAGAACTTATTTAAAGTTTGCATTATCTGATACAAGTTTGTATTTCTTTGTATAACCAGTTATACAAATACTTCATAATCTGCTAGTTATGCTAGTATAACTACTATTACAGATATCTTAACCTAATTATTAGAAATATTTGCTATAATATAAATATTACATAGATAATTATCTAAATTTTTGCTATTAATAAGATTTAAACACTTAATCTACTACTTAGAAGATTAACAATTTATCTGCTTCACTAAGTTACTATATTCTTATTTATTATTATTATATTCTTTTATTTTAACTAAATTTAATTCTAACTTTTTTAATTTAACTCTATTATATTTTTTTTTAAATTATAATTTTTTTTTTAATTTATTGTTTATTTATTTTAAGTTCTTTTTTTTATTAAAATCTAATATTTTTTTATATATTAAATTAGTTTTTTTATGCTAGTACTTTTTATTTAGTATAGTAAACTATAGAAGTTTATAGCTAAATATTTTAAAAAAGCTACCTTATATTAGAGAGTATATCTAGTTATATATACATTTTTAGTATCTAATTTAAATAGTTTATCTATATATAGATTCTATACTAGCTATCATATTTGCAATTTAACTATAGATATTGTCTATTTAACTTTTTTGTACTATGATTCTTATTAGATTATCTCTAATACTAATATTACACAGATCAAACAAATAAATAAAGAATAAATAATAGATAAATAACAGAAAAAAAATTTGTCATTATTCTACTCTATATCTGTCAAATAATAATAGCATAATAGTAGTATAATAGCAGAATAATAGTAAAATAATAAAAACTTTGTTAATATAAATAACATAATAGTAATATAATAACAAAAAATAATAAAACAGTTTTATTATTTTACTTTTAGTCTTTGTAACTAAAAGTAAAATAATAAACCTGTTTTATTTTTATTTTTATTTTTTTCTTAAGTAATCATGTTAGTACTTTATTAAGATTCTTAAAATTATTATTGTAATTATATAGATTTACTTAACAACTAAGTTTAGCATTACCTAACCACTCTAATAGTATCTAAGTACTAGTATTTTATTAAGATTCTTAAAATTACTATTGCATTTATATAAATTTATCTAACAACTAAGTTTAGCATTACCTAGCTACTCTAATAACATCTATGTACAATCTGCTACATTACTTCAAACAGAACTAAGCTGCTTGTCTAACTACTTAAAGTCCATAATAAAAGGGTTTTTTTCTTCTTTTATGACAAATCTCAAAATTGTTTTTCTAGTTTCATCTTCAATTCACTTTTTTTTTTTGTTTTTGTTTTTCTTTCTTTTATTTTTTACTAACTAGTCTTTTTCTTTTTATTTGAGTTTTTCTTCTTTTGGATTTTTTTTTCATTTTGCTAATTATTTTTGTTTTTTTTTTCTATTTATTAACTTTTTTATATTATGTTTTTTAAACTTGCTCATAAAAAGTATTCTAGACTGTTGCTGCTAATATATTTACAAATTGTTAGTTTATTCTTGTATTTAGAAGCTGTGCTAATTTGTCTTAAGTCATTTTTAAAATTAGGCCCTTAATTTGTGCTTTTCTTATTTCTATTTTGTCTGTTTCTGTTTTTCCAAAATGCACTATATATAATATATAAGATAAAACTCTGGTTTTTTCTTTTTCTCTTAATCCTTTCTATGCTGTTGCAATAAATACTTTCTGTATTTTTTTTTAAAGGCTTGCTTGTTCCTTGCATGATGCCAGATACTCTTGTGTTTTTTTTGATTTTGTTTTAACATACTTGGCATTCTGTATTTGCATATAGATCTTGGCTTCTTCTGTTGAGTTCTTTTATTATTAAAAGTTTGTTTAATATATATTTTATAAAAGTGTTTCTTCTTATATTGCTTCTTCTTGTTATACAATATACTTCTTTAATTGACTTTAGTCTTTTTCAAAAATATATCTAATTATAAATCATTACTTTTGTTACTAGTTTTAAATTCTTAATTACTGTTGTTTCTCTTTACTCTGCACCTAGTCTGTCATTTGTTACTAGCTTATATAGAAGTCTTGCTAGCATTTCTATTTATTTGTTTTTTTATTTTAGGCAGTACTCTATTTCTTTATAACTAACTTTTCTATATCTATTATTTTTTTGCTTAATGTCTCTTTCTTTGCAAGACTGTCAGCTTTACTATTCTATTTGTCTTTGCTATAACTTTTTACTTTAAACCACTCTATTTGTATATTTTTTGTTCTAATTAGAATAATTATTTTTACTATTTACAAAGAATTTTTTCTTTTAAGAATTCTATTTTTATTCATATATTTTAATTCTCTACTAATGCTTCTAATTGCAGCATTACTGTCTGTAAATATTTCTAGTTTTTTTTCTTTTGATATAGTTAAAATTGCTGCCTATATTGCTAATAACTTAGCTATCATTAATATTGATCACTTTTTTACTTCTAATATTATTTTTTTCTAACTGATCTTGTATTTTACTTATTTGTACCTATTCTATATTTATGTTTTTATATTGTATTTTTTTTATTCTGTCTATTTGCTATACTATTAGTATATATTTTATACTTGTTCTTATTTCTTAATATATTTTTCTTCAAAGTTTCTATTATTTCTTGAACAATATTCTCTCTTAGCTTTTGCTTTTTAATTAGCTCTATTTCTAGATCTTCTAGTATTCTAAGTTTTGTTAATTTCTGTTTATTTTTTTCAACCCTTCTGTTTTTGTATACTCTGTTAATTAGTTTGTTATTGTCTTGATTATATTGTTGCTTTTTCCTATTAATATATTTAGGATCATTTTTATCTTGTTGTTAATTCTTATTCAATATTGATTGCTGTTTTTTACTGTTTCTTCTTTGCTTATATACCTATTATATTTGCTAATTTTGGTTACTATATCACTTTTTATACTTTGCATTTACCAATATTCTATTAGTATCTTTTTCTTTTTTTTTCTAATTACTTTCTCTAGTTGTTTGTTATTTTTTGTATCATATAAAATCTATTCTATTTTTTGACAAATTTTCTATTTTATCTTTATTGCTTATATGTTGTGTTTATTTGGTTTGAAGGGTTCTTTAACCTCTTTACTTTCTAGTTTATTAAGCATTCTTGCTTCTACCTTTTTGAACTATTTTGTTTTTTTTTAATTTTATTTAATTATTTTTGATAAGTTTTAAATTACTGTTATGTTATTAGTCTTTCATTTTTTGTATCGAATAGTTAGTTTAATATATTAGGTCTATTTCATTTATTTTGGTTTTACTTATTTTTCAAAGTCATGTTTCTAGTAATTTAGCTATTTTATAATTATAGACACTTGTTGTTTATAGCTTATTTTTTGTACTTATAGTTATTTTTAGCTTTTTGCTTTACCTATTATCAAACAGACTAAATTGTTCTTTCAATATGATCTATCTTCTAACAACTTCTTTAATTTTTATATATCTTTTGTTAATTCTATTCTTTGGTAGCCTTACATTATTTTTAATTTTATTAACTGTCCTAATTTATCTTTTATATTGAGTCTTGCTAACAGACCTTCTACATATTTTATTGTTAATTCTTATTATAATGTTTTGTAGCTGCTCAGATTCTTGTATTCTATTATATAGTTCTCTAATATTTATAGTAAGTTACTTTTTTGTTTTGTTAGATATATCATTAATTAATGTACTTCATTTATTTTTTTCTTTAATATTTTTGTTAATTGTAACATGTAACTTAATTTTAGTATTATTACTATATTGTTTATGTATACTATTTGACTTATTGTTATTTTCTTGTACTTAAGATCTCTTATTGTTTGTCTTATAATTTTTTTGTTTTTTTTTTTTACTAGAACTTCTTACATTCTGTTGTTTAATCAGATTTTCAAAGAACAAACTATCTTGTTTCTTGATTTTCTATTATTTTATTTTTTTTAAATATTATTACTTTTTTTTTTAATTTTCCTATTTATTATTATCAGTTTTGATTTAGATCTGTTTATTTTATATTGTTTATTTTAAAGAACTCTTCTGCTATTTTTAATATTTCCAAAATAGAACTGTTCTATTATTTTGCTATAATATTATTATTATATTACTTATATAAACAAACCTCCTATTATTATATTATTATTTTGCTATTATACTGCTATTATATTGTTATTCTTTGGCAGATATAGAGTAGAATAATGACAAATTTTTTTTTCTGTTATTTACCTATTATTTACCCTTTATTTATTTGTTCAATCTGTAATAAATTCTTATGAATATCAACTTCAGTTAGTTAAAAAGATCTTAAATTCTGAAAATTATCTTAATATTTTTAAAAATTGTCTTTTAGATATTATTGATAATAATATAATTTTTTAATATAAAAAAAATTTGATAAATAAAGAATAAATTCTATTATTGACTAGTCTTTATATTCCTCTAATTTAAATTTATTGAATATTTCTAAATTAAAATTAAAAAGATGCTTAAAAGAAGAATATTTTAATAATAAAAAAAAATAAAAATTATAGAAAAGAATAATAAAAATATAGAACAAAATTGAATTTGAGGTAATAAATAAATTGAATATATCATTGTCTAAAAGAATTACAATTATAATAAAAATTAAAAATGGTTATAAAGATTATTAATTATCAATCTTTATTGCTAAAAATCTTAATACAATCCATCATTATTTATATCAACTTATTTGAATTAGTTTTAAATTATATTAATAATGATATTAATAAGAAATTATATTAAAGTTGATATATATGAGAAAATTTTAATATATAAAAATTTATAAAAATTTAATTTGTAGTTTAGATCAATATTAACAAGATTGAATTAATAAAGATTAACTGTATAAATATGTAATTAATAAAAAGAATAAATATAATAACATAACTATAATTAATATTAAAACTAATTAAAACTTGTGCAACTGCTATATATATACTGTAAATATATATATAAATAATTAGAAACTGTCATTATTTTACAAGAATTTTAGTTTGATTATATGTGAAAGAATTTCTATTAGTTATCATATTAAAAAATAAAATTCGATCTACAGATCAATAGTGAAGTGGTTATATTCTCAGGTCACCAATTACAAAATTGTTAGTTCAAGTCTAATGAAGAACAAAAAACTGAGTAAGACCCATGATTATTAATTAATCATATCTGATGATGTATTATGAAAATAAAAAGATCTTCAGTATTCAGATCCTTAAATGGTGATAGACCTAGCATAAGAAGGCTGCAATGATTAGGAAGCTGAGGATAATAATAGAACAAAGGAATCCCTGATTAGAAATAATTCCAATGAAATTCCAAGGTAATAGGAACACAAAATCAATATATAAATAGTACTATAAAAAATGTACATAAATAAATGTAAAATGTAAAATATAGGCAGGGTCCTAATAGAAGGTCCTGTGAACTTGAAAAATTTGAACTAATAAAACAACTGCCAGCTGTGGCCCACTAACAACCATGCAGTGGAAAAAAAAACTAAAATAAAATAAAATAAAATTCTATTCACAAATTCATTTACAAAACAGCTACAGGTCAAATAAAATTAAGCGTCAATCAGATTTAAAATGCAATTTCTTCACGTTCTTATAGCTACCTCCTCACATTAACATCCATTCATTCTTAAATAATATTGCACATTATTTAATCAACTTTTAAATTTTTTTTTTTAATTTTATCACACAATCTAAAACTTGTATGCTTTTATTTCATTTATTTAATGTATATATATGAGTGACGAAAAGGGAAAACCTGTAAATTATCTCACTCAATGAGTGAAATGTTTTACAGGGTTTCCCTTTTCGTCACTCATATGATTGAATGTTTTTCATACAATTAAAGATCTAAAACACCAATTATTTAAACAAATTTAATATTTAATATTATCAAAAACTTTCGAATAATTCCAATCAACAGCCGTTCGCATTTGCTTAACTTGATTCATTGGTGAACTGAAGATTCTGGGTTTCAAATGCCCTAAGAGCCGTTTATAGTATGATAAAATGCATGTATATCTAGCCTATACAAAAATAAAGCATATAATAACGTTTAGCAACCAAATCAAGAAAGAAAATACAAACTATTTACGTTTACATGCCAGGATACATCAGGGTATGCAAAACTAGGTTCAGCAGTCGTTTGAGATTGGGATTTATTAATAACACTCGATATGCACACTGAATTGTGTCGTACATTGCACTTACGTACATACGTACCAAAATAATAATTTGAATTTTGTATTTAATTATAATTGATATAGGCTTTATGATAATCAAACTAAAACTTCACCCTTACAATCAAAATTTTGAATACAGCCAAACAATAATTAACACTTATGTATTTCAAAATCTTCATTTCTTGAGTTACCTTTCAGCGTAGACCTTTGATATGATGATGAAACTTCATAGCCGTCAGCAGAAAATTTCGGTAAATGTTAAGTAATACAGTCGCTCTAGTGTTGAACGATAAGTCATTATATATTGGATGACAGTTCTTGGTAACGATGCTGAACTGAGAATATAATTTAGATACATGCTTAAAAATAATTAATAAAATGATAGTATTTACTCAATCATCTTTTGTTTTAATGCTTCACCAGGATGCCTTGATGTTTTGACTGTTAAAGTATCTGCAATCTCTACATAGTTTATAAAAATACATCAATAGCAGCATAAGTTATACTGAATAACGAATTAAGAAGACCTACGTGAAAGGCTATATCGCATATAATCAACTTTACAGTTCAATGTAGTCGTATGAATTAGGATTCCACACCATGGAAAGTCTAAAGATCATTTTCAATTAAGTTAGAAAACTGTTAAAATTACTTGAGCAAACAAATATTTGATTTACCAAGCGTATTACTCAATTACATTATCGGCTCCCCGTCAACAATAATATTGAAGTTTATTTAGCTCTTTTTTCTGTTAACGACACACTTATATTTTGGATAACCTAAAAAAAATATGGATTCAATAAAATCTTACCTTATTCAAAATACATATACATATCACAATTATTACCTTTATACATTGCGGTTATAAATCTTTTAACCTTTTCTTTGTCTGTACTTATGTACAGAAAATCGTCAAGAAACCGTAGCATGAGCTATAAATTCAGTTTTTAGCCAATAACACTAACACTTCGAAATCGATATATTCACTTACACCATTATCATGCTTCACAAAAGGAAGCGCTTCCCATTCCATCTCATTATAATAAAAGCTATGTATTAAACGATTATAATTATCAATATATAAATATCAAGGGAAGAAACCAATTATCAATTGCGTCAATATGAACCTGCAAAGCAGTGTCGATACAACTGACCCCTGTGAAATACCAGTACACTGCCTATAATACTTGTCTCCAATCTATTAAAAAACATAGCATATTGCTTTTATATTGCAAATTACAAGAAATGAGTGCTGCCAGGGGATAAGGCATTTCGGATTTTCAATTATATTTTGTATTGGGAACAACCCCTAATAAATTAGATCCATGTCTAGCACAAAATATAATCCAAAGTCGGATGTGCATTTTCCCTTGACAGCACTCCTATAATACAGCAGTTTCGGAATCATCCTTTTATTAAATTATACTTTATATGCTTTTCTAAGAGATCAAGTATATCCTTCCTATCTAAATACGATTCTTTAACGCGGTCAATAAAAACTGAATTTGGTATCTTTCGTGCCGATTTTCTTGCAAAGGTTGGAAAATTAGGAAATTCTTCTATATAATTTATATCATTAATGCGGACAACAGAGAAGTAATGCAATGATTAAAAAATTATTGCAAAACTGGTTAATCTAATATTACCTGTTGAGTCGTCATAAGATTTATAAAACGAACGGATTGTACTACCATTCTGGCAAACTACATATTTATGAATTGCATAATCACTCTAAAAAAGGGAAAATTATTTACTTTTTCTCAAATAATGCATATATTAAAAAAAGTAGACTTACTTTTTTTAATACATCTTTACTATTTCCAAAACTCGTTCTTGATCAATGGATTCAAAACAATATTGAACATCCATTTTTGCGAAGTATAACCTTGATCTGCAAAATGCAAAAATAAGTAATAACCAAAAACCAGAACTATATATATATGTATTGACATACCACGAATGTTTAGTTTTAGTAAGATTTTGTTTAAATTCTTTCAACGTTCATAAATCTCACTAAAACTGAAAACTGAACCACCTAGTTTAGAAGACTTTCCACCAGATTCGCCAGATAATTGCATATCCTGAATTGAGTGTTTATTTCAACAAAGGGCAAAGCCGTTTGGCAAATAAAATGTAGAAAAAAAATATCTTGAAATCAATACCGTTTTTTCAATGTTAGGGTTTGAAATGTATTTTGTAGAATTGCGTTCACAGGTTACTTTGGCTTTTCTTTAACGTGCACCTATGCCAGCAAGATATTTATTTCCAGGTATAAATAATATGTATAACATAAATTATGTCAAAATGAATGCTAACTACCATACAGCGTGCATACAGTATCATAAATGTCATTTACTATCACTAAGATTTGTGTATTTACTTTTGCCTGATAAATAACTTCTCTTTAAAAATCATGTTAATTACTCCCATTTGGATTTTATCTTGACTAGTATGCTATCCTCCGGGTAGTTTCCGGGTACAAATTAAGTTAGTAGGATTTTTTGACTTGTTTCCCGGGTACTATTTGTAGCGCTCTATGGTAGATATGTTACGGTCCTGCAAAGACCGTGGTTTGGGCCGGTCTTTTGGACCAGTCCAACTGGTTTTAGGTCCTAAATTGAGGACCGGGTCCAGACCGATCCATAGCTCATAGAACGATCTCATTGACTAAAAAAGAAAAAAATTTCTGATGATCGAATCTATAAGTTTCTAATTCATTGACTTGTTGATTTTGTCTCAGCTGCTTGTCGATTCGGTCATTGGCAATTTTTCCGATGTGATCTGTGAATGCATGACTAGTAAAACACGCGATTCTTGTATTTTGTATTGGTGGTTAGCCTGAGCAATATGAATACCATAAAATAAATTTAATGCTCAAAAATTTGAATCCGAGAAGTACTAAGAATTTGAATTCTCTTCACCAAATAAATTCATATAATAGTTCGGATCTCTTATCAGCTTCAACTTTGTTATATTTATTACCCTCCACAAAAAGCCACTTGCACTGCTTGATCTTAAATTCAATATTTAGAACTATATTGCGTAGTATAATATGTGGATAATAAAATATGTAACAGATAAATTCTATATACTTTGAATTTATCCAAAACATAGTGCAGTGAGAGTTCTTCATAATGCCTAAACGCGATGAACTTTTCTACAGCTAATATTAAAATGATCATAATAATAATAATAATACGTAATGAGAATCATAATGATAAATATTTCAATTATTCTTAAATATTCATATTACCTTTAAATATTACTTGTTGATTATCATTACAACCCCAAAAATCCTTTGGAATTATTCGTTTCAGCACTGCACGAACAAATGTGGTAACCAATATTTATTAAAATATAAAGGCTATTAGAAAATATAAATATCAAATCATAAGACTATTCATCATACCTGATATAGATTCGAATTAGGGTTGAAATCCTGGATCATCTGTAGGAGCGTTTTGCGCCTGCTAGGATCGACAACGACCAAAAAAAAATATGTAGAAGTTCTGTATAAATTATTTGCATTTATTTAGTTTATTTTGCAGTTGAGATGCACTCCCACCATCACAGGGCAATAACGCTTAAGTAAGCTTGTGTATCCACATTTTTTATGTCGTGAAATAATTTGATTTATCATAGACAGCACTTGAATCAAGCGATTTTACTAATTTTCACCCACACTTTCTATTGGTTGAAATAATTTGTGATTATTTACATGTCACCGTTTTTTAAAATGTGACATTTCAGTTAGAGTTGGCATTAGGATTAGTAGCCAAAATTATACCAAAATTCTGTAAGGAATTTTTTTTGTTAGTACGTGAAAGGTGATTTCTTAGGAGAAATTTTGAGATTAATGCGATTTTTTAGAATAAAGTGATTGTTTTGATGATTTTCACGTTACACCCGATCTTCTCCCCGTGACTGATCCTGATTGGCCAGAATCAAGTGACATCACCGAATTCATCCAATCATGGGTGAGATTTACCTTCAACCAATAGAAAAGGTGGGCGAAAATTAGTCAAGCGAGAAGGTATGTCAACATTAAATGAATCTTATTATCAGTATTTGTTTGATGTTTAGTAAATATTTATTTCTTTATTTATTAAAAAAACCCCCCGAATCTCAGTAATACAATTTTGATACAATTGATCAAACACGTTGCGAAGACCAAATTGTTTCTGAAAAATATGTTGAATTACGTCTCTTGACATGTTGGCAATATTTAAAATATCTGTAAACTATTAATATACATATATAATCAATAAAATACTAGGTAATTATTCCTGCTTTTTAATTACTTACGAAGTTTAGGCAGTCCGAACTTGACAGAATCATTAGCATTGTGAGTTGCGGAATGGAAATATATTTTGTACCTGTTAAATATAAGATTCGCAGGTGTTCTTACACTATTTTTCGAATTTATTTTTTGTTCATCGGGTATTTTATTGTATATTTTGACATTGCTAAGAGATAAATTTTCTGATCATTATTAATTCCCAGAAAGTTCTAACACTATCACCATTATTGTATTTGGTAAATTTAGAAATTTCAAATTTTCCAAATCCATATACATATCTTACGGCATGCTCTCTATAAAAGTTTCCTGAGATTATAATCCTTTAAAAATTCCTTTTCCTTTAAAGGTTTCTTGAAATGATGCCCATCATTCAAGATTTCCAAATCCGAGATGAAAATTTCAGATTCATGCTGTAAGTCCATATACATATCTTGAGGTGTCGTTTCTTCAAAAGTTTTCTGAGATAGCACCCTTCCAAAAGTTCGTTCTCCTTTAAAGGTTTCTTGAGATGACACTTCTTCAAAGACTTCATGAGATGGCATTTTTTTAGAAATTTTTTGATAACATTTGGACTTTTGAAGATCAATATTCGGTTTAGGTAATTCACTAATTGCAATACCTAATTGATAATAAATGAATTTAATTATGAATTTATATAATTTGTTATAGTTAGAAAGTTGTACTTTCTTACCGGTTACTTGAATATAAGAATTATTTGAAAGATAAACAAATGTTGATGTATTCTTCAATAAATAAGCCATTGCTTTCTCACCAAGCCTACAAAATACTATACTATTCAACCTTATACACTTTATGGGTTGATTTTATTGTAATCAGGTCAGACTATTCACCTAGAGTAAAGCTTTTTCAATGCTGGTAAACGTCTAATATAATATGTGCATGAATTTTCGTATTCTACCATACCACCGTATTGATTTGGTACCTAATCACAGTTTGCAATCAAGGATTATTGACAAATTGATATTTAAATGTCTTCTATACACAATATACATGTTTAAAAATTTTATTAAAACCAAGCGATAAAACGTTGGGTTGCTTTTTTTCGGCTCGAGGCTGTCTTTTCAATAACAAGTTCTATAATAGCATTATTAACCACCTACCAGTAAAAATTTTAGATTAGTTTTTTTTAACGAATTTTCTTCACTTAGCAAATTTAAGAGCTAAAGTATACTTCTTTATATTCTTTCTCCGAAACACTTCCTAACAAGTAACATGGAAAGGACGTTTGGTATCATTTATAAGTGGGGTTTTTAGTAAGCTTGTATAATCTTCGTCACCTTTCTGAATCAATTTAATTTGGTTGCCGCAATGCGTAGTAAGAAATTCATATAAGGTGGATAATAAACACTCAAAACCTTGTTTTTCAAATACATTGTCAAAAAAAAACTAATAGCAAGAAAGTGAACTTCTAAAGTTCTTGATTGATCGATAGTCGAGTTTTGACTAGTCAATACACCAAACCGGGGATTATGTCTAATTACATATTGATCTACATATTGCATAAATCGTATTCTAGCAAACAGGAGGAACCGTCGATGTTACACACAATTGAAAGAAGGCTTTTTTTATATACTTTTTTGGCGAAGGTTATAAGATTACTATACTGACTAAATTTCATCATTAAAAAGGTAAAAAAACAAAAACGTTGAAAGAAATAATTTAACAAGGTAAACACTATTGAAAAAAAATAATTTATATAGTTCTTATATATTATGCATACCTTAAAAAATTCTTTTAAATCACCTTAATAACAAAAAAAAAAAAAGTTTATAATGTAATTGCAAATAAATATTCTAATAGAATAATAATTACTGTTTTATTATAAAAGTTCATATTAGATATTTATATTAAATATAATGTTAAATGTACAAAAGGTTAGATATTGAAATAGGTAGTGTTTAACATATAGAAAGTTATATAAATTAAATATAAAATTAAATAAAAATAATACTGTTAATAAATAAATAGATTTCTGTTACTGGTAAATAAATTATATAAATTATAAAGATATTTTATTTGTAATAATATTTAAGATATTTAAAATATTAATTTTTAACTTTATATTTAGATTTGAATTAATTTTGCTTTTATTTTTTTTCAGTTTTTTAATATTTGCAATTTAATTGTTAATAAACATGTGATATTACATTAACATTTATGTAATATTAATGGTTCTTTTTGTTCTATTTTAGAGACTTGTGGAAATTTAGATAATACTAGGTTGATAATCGATATTCTGTTATAGCAGCATAGCAAACTTTTATTGTAATTAGCTGATTTTTGTAAATCATCCTGTAATATTGTAAAAGTTTTATTAATTAATCAAAAATTAACAAAATTTTTTATAATTCCATAAGTAAAAAAAATTAATATATGAAAAAATAATTATATTTGCAATTAAGAGTAAAGTTCATGTAGATTATTTTATTATATGATTTGCATGTCTGATTAAAATTTTGATAAAAAATTAAAAGATGTTACTAATAAAACTTTTTATAATTATATAAAAAATACCTCACGATCTAATACATAGAACTCATTAAAATAA